TTTTTTTTTTCTGTTGAAACACTATAAAATGTGATTATAGCAAAGGCAGTGGTACAGTGTTTCCACTGAAACCTTGATCCAGTGACAAATGCTTGACCAGAAGTTGAACCTGACACAGGAGTTATAAGGCAGCATTGTCTGGCCTAGGTTGTGAAGGATTTTGGGTAAAGTTGCTGCATTGCTCTTCCTGGCTTTAACATCTATAAAGTCATTCTACCAGAAGGGAAATTAGATCTACCTTCTTATGTACCTTTAGAAACGGGGAGAACTCAATTCACCTATGTCAGAGCAGAGTGTTCTTGCAACCATAAATTCCCATGTTACAAAAGTTGGCAATTTTCTTTTTAATAGGGGAACAGAGCAATCAAGTAAAACACATTCAGAGAAAAATTGTTTCCAGAGGTCAGTGACTTGTGATAATTGAACCTCATGTTGAATGTTCTTTCTGTTTTTCAGGCTGATGATATCCGAGCTTTGCTGATAGATGCAATGCCTCCTGAAGCTTTGCCTACGTGCTTTAAGCCTCAAGCCACTGTTGTTAGTGCCTCCCTGATCTCACCAGCATCTACACCGTCCTGCCTCTCCGCTGCCAGCAGCATAGACAACCTCACGGGGCCACTGGCAGAACTTGCCGTAGGAGGGGCATCAAATGCTGGTGATGGAGCAGCAGGAACTGAAAGGAAGGAAGGAGAAGGTGCGTTTGCTGCTGGACAAGTTTATGTTGCCAGAAGTACAGTAGCTTAGTATCACAGTAGGCTTCACTTTATCTGAAAAGCACTTCTGACTAGCCAGAGAATATTGTACAGCTTGAACTGTTATCTGTGTTGTGAAGTGTCTGATGCTTGCTCTGTTCTCATGTGCTCTGCCAGGAGCATTGCTGGCTGTTCATCTGTGTTTGCTATTGCTGATTAGGGCAGACTACAAAGGCAGATCTGATTAGGTGCCCAGATGTTCGTTGTTGATTTTGCACAGAAAGTCCAATGAGAATTATTTTGATGAAGGAATTATTATCGTGATAGATGGGAGATTTTGCTAAGGCTTTTTAAACCCTTTGACTAGTATCTGGAATACACGCTTTATGTCAGCATCTAGGTGACTGCATAGCAAAAATACACCCATCCTTTCCTTCTCTGTGCAACATGAGCCTGCATTTGCCACACATCATTTGTACTTTTGTACAGTTGATTCTGAGGAGGGAACAGTGAGGAGCTTTGTACTGAGCTTTCACAGAGTGGAAGTGAATTGTTTACCATAGTTTAGATTGTAAAAAGAATGAGAGTTTGGAATTTTGAGAGAATCAGTGGTGTTGCCTGAGTGGTTTGGGGGTTTTTTGGGGGGAGGAGAAAGGTATTTTTTTTTTTTTAATTAAAGCGCATAAAATATAACGACTTGTTTCTTCTCTTGTAGTTTCTGGTCTTGACATGAATATTACCCAGTTCCTAAAAAGCCTGGGTCTTGAACACCTTCGGGATATCTTTGAGACAGAACAGGTTAGTGACAAACCTCACCTCTGTATGTTTAAAAGATAGACTAATCTAATAAATTTGAGTGACATTTTTTGCTCCCTAATTGAAAGAAGCAAAAAACCTGAACTTCACATCTACAGAAGAACAAGATTGGCCAAGAAAACTGTGAATGAATCGCCAGATACTTCATGGTGAAGCTGAGAAACCTGCAAAAATCTTTCATGTTTGATTCAGATATCCAGTGCCTTTCACTTCGTTAGACATACATGATGACTGGAAACCCTCCAGTTTGACCATGAGCGGATATAAAAATCTAGTTTACCAGGGTGTAGTTGCACTAGAGAATGCAGAAACTACATTTCCTAATAGGTCAGGACTATAGCATTAACTGCGTTTTGCAAGGCTGACAGGTTTCAGATGAAATTGAAACACGGGGAGAAAAACCTGCAGGTTTATCAGTAATTAACCATTTGCAAAAGAATACAACTAATATAACAGTTTCTCAAGCTTACATTACTTTTTAGAGCAGAAGTACCTCTAATGTTTTTGTAGACTCTTTTTCTGTACTGTTTCTTAAAATTTAACATTAGTTACAGTTTAAACAGATTATTTGTTCACATAAGCAAGTTGGACACCGTGGGGGAAGTGAAAGGCACAAGTGCAAGAGACTGGATGTTGTTGTTATTTTTTCTCCCAGGCCTCTGTGGCTAATCTTTTATGAGGGTTCAGGAAACAAACATTTGAAATGTAGTGTGTTCCTTCCAGAAAAAGTTCCAACCATTTCCATGAAATGTTAAAGGAGCTATCCCCAGAGTTAAAATGCCATATAATCTTTCTTCACTTCTTGTACATGAAGCATAAGCTTTTTTCTTGGTTTGGAACTGCTTCTATTAAGAAGCAATGCAAGCTCAAACCAATCTATATTCTACTCACATTTCTTTTTTCTTATTATTTTTCATACCTTCTTGTTACCATGCTGGTTTTGTTCTGCTTTTGCTTCCTTAACTCCTAACCTGTTTTTAAGATCTTCCCCTGCTAATAAGATTTAGTAACGCAAATAGGATTTGTTGTATCAATTCATCATTTTGATGATGTTTAGCTCCTCTTGCTTCTTTCTAGAGAAAACAAGCTCATCTTCCTTCAACTTACTGCTTTAAGCTGCTTTTTCAGGCACTGCAGTACTTTTATGTGCACTTTTTCACCTTGGCTCTAGCTTCCTATTCATACTGGAGCTGTGCTGATGCTTTCTGATATCTGGGTTTCTTCTGTATTTTTCTGATGTTCCACTGCATATGATTAACATCCTCAGTGGCTTTTGCACAGCAATCCCAGTAGGGTGGTTTTCTGCTCAATTGGCCAGAGGTTCAGTGTAGCTATTAATTCCTTGCTTGAGTTGCTTTCTTTTGAATTAATGATACTCAATTTGTCGTGGACAGAGTTCATACCTGCAAGTCCAGTCATGCTAACAGTCTGGCTTCTTTTGAATCAAGTTGTATGGTTTCCTGCTATTTACTGAGCTTGCCATTCTAGTTTAATGTGTAAATTTGGAAGTAGATTTTACGTAATTATCTCCTCCAGGTGAAATCTTTCTGGTTTTCAGAGAAAGACCTCAGTGCACAATTGCTTTGTAGTAGCAAAAATGTGTACTTTGTTTAGCCTTTATCTCCTGTTCTTTAAAAGTAAAAAAAAGAGTATTTTACATCATGCTTTGTTACCTTTCTGCTTCCACCAATAATTTCTCTGACCTTGAAATTTAAAACCTGGTCAGCTCATTGTAGATGTATTCATATGTTGCAACCAAGTGAATGTGTCCTCTCTATGTTAATTATTTCCAAAAATAGTGGAATAGTTGAGCATGACTTAGTAAAGTTGACCCACTAGTTTGATACACATGCAAGTGCACACATGAATATATACACACAGTAATAGCACACACCATAGTAATATTGATGTGAAACACGCTTAACATTTATTAGTAAGCTTACACAATATTAATTTCTCTCGATGTAGTGAAAATAATGAATTGTGTAACAATGTGTAACTTTGAATGCTTCGAAAATGTTCCCAGATTTGTCCCAGCATTTTAATGCATCCTCCTTCTACTTAAGTAAAAATGTTTTTGAGAACCTCCTGTGAGAACCAGCTCTTCTTAATTGCTGTAAGAGAGGTAAAACCTTTGCACAGCTTCAGGCTGTAGCAGCTGGGTTTGGCCCTGTGACACGGAGAGGCTTGCCAGAAGGTGGCAGCAATTAGAAGTGCAGCAAGACATAAAATACATATACACTCTTGGTTGCAGCATTAATACATTCCATTTTCTGAACTGACAAATGGGAATCAGGCCAGGTTTGACAAGTTATTTTTGTGGTCTTTCACCTTTCCAGATAACCCTGGATGTGTTGGCAGACATGGGGCATGAGGAGCTTAAAGAAATTGGGATCAATGCGTATGGGCACCGCCACAAATTAATAAAAGGAGTGGAGAGACTTCTAGGAGGGCAGCAAGGTAACTGTGACACTTTTACTGGTTTGTCTAAGTGTAGCATACAACAGGCTGTAGGCAGTCATCTTCTGTAGATGTGGGGATTGTCACCAGGACTTGTAAGGATCCAGATGTCAGGAAAATGTACTTGCTGGGTGGGTTGTGACTGGTAAAGAACATCCTGAGGAGATACAGGACTGGGTGATCACTTGGCTCTCAGGAGAATGGACACCCCTGAGGCAGCTGTGGAGGCTATCCCCATTTCCAGGGACTCTGTTTCATCCAGGCAGGAGCTTTTGGATTTATTTGCCCCTACGTACCTACCCACAGACCAGTTATATCCTGAAGTGTGGACCTGATGGAGTTTTATGTTGCCCCACACTTCTCAGATGCTTCTCTTGAAAGAGGAAGCAATAAAATGCGATTATGTCCAACGTGCATTTTCCTTCTCTCTTTTAAAGCCCCTGCTGCTAATGACAGTACTTTATCTTTTCAAGGTTGTGCTTCTGCCTTGTGTTTATTTTGCATTTCCTGTTGTACTGGGGTTATTTAGTAAGAATAATGATGATGCTGGATATCAATAGAGGTGGTATTGTTTTCTCCTGTTGATTTTTATTCCTTTAATTCCTTCTCTTTGCAGGCACCAATCCTTATCTGACTTTCCACTGCGTGAGTCAGGGGACCATTCTTCTTGACCTTGCTCCTGACGATAAGGAGTATCAGTCTGTAGAAGAGGAGGTATTGCAAGTACCTTTCTTAATGCTCCAGTGGCAGTGTATTTCTCAGAGCTAAAGCAAGCAATGCATGTTGATAGTGATAAGATATTCTTTGGTGTATGAATTGCATAGATGTGAAGTTTAGGGCTCTTCATTTGTCTTTTTATATAGAGCAATTAAGGAATTTATTTTGATGTGCCCTGCCAATTTTTTTAATAAGTCATCTGTTTGCTCACTTAGTGTTATCCCAGTTTTGCCTATTTGTTGTTGTTTTGGATGTCGTCTTATAGCAGGGTTTTCCACAGCTTTTTCAGAGGTAGGTGGACCTGCGAAAATTGAAGGCCATGAGTGAAGACCAAGGGATCAAGGTCTTGCAAGTCTGTAGGCATTCTCAGTGCTTGGGCTGTTTCTGCATGTGAACCAGCTTGTTTTCTCTTGTCTCAGTGGCTTAGTTAATCTGTAACCCAGATAAACAGCTCTTGGATCATTGAGAGTTGACTGTAATTTTGCCTCCCACACACACACGTGCTCTTTTATTTAAGTAAACTACAAGCAGATACCATTTTGAAAGAGGAATCAACAGAGAAGAGACTTTCTGAAGAGTTGTGTTTAGAAGAAACTCCATTTTACTGTGCATCTGCTATTGGTGTAGTGTTCCTACATTGTAGCACAAAAGTGTTTGGAGTCTTTTTAAAAATCTAAATATTCAGGATTGCAGCCAGCTTAGCCTGCAGTATTTTTGATTAGTAACTCTGGAGAGCTTATGCAGATCTTTTGTATAAACTTTTCTGACAGAAAGGGTCACTTGTCTGCTATAGTAAATCGGGATATTTATTTGAGCTGTTACTAAATGTTGTTGCTGTGGCTATAAATACCTCTAGAATAGACATCATGAAACTGCTGAAATTCTCAGGGGCTGCTAATGACATTGGAAAATTTACAGTGCAAGCATTTTCTTATCACGAAGCATTACGAACTGTACTTATTACAAACACATTTGTTATTACTTCAAAATTATCTTTTTGTATATTCATTTCCAAAAAAATGAGTCTTTTCCTAATCTAAAGCAGGTTTTCTAGTTGTGTATAGTTTTGATAGCAAGTGCCACTATTCTCCTTTTTCCTGTGCAGATTTTTATTACAAGATTGGATAATTGCATCATCCAACTTCTTTGCTGTGGAACAACATAGTGTGTTAGGTGCCTGAGAAATAAGGGTGTTCCTCAGTTTAGAATTGAGTTGTTGGGTAGGGTTTTTTTGACACCTTTTAATTAATTTTTAATCAAGATTGTCTGTTGTTGCCAGCGATATACTGAGATACTGCATGAATACTTTGCCTTGCTAGCAAGCTTTGTGTTCATTTGTGTAGATGCAAAGTACGATCCGGGAGCATCGGGATGGTGGGAATGCTGGCGGGATCTTCAACAGGTACAATGTCATCAGGGTGAGTTTCAAAGCCTCTTAGTTCTATGTGGTAAAATAAGTTGGTACTTATGCAAGCAGGCAGAATTGATTTAATGGATCTTCCTTTTATAGCTGAAGTTCTTTGTTGAAATCATATTCAGGAGCAGAGTTAAAGCAAGTGCTAAATACTAAAATTAGGCTGATTGTGTGCTCTGCACATGGAATGAGGGAGAAGCATCCACTGGCATTCTTAAAGGAGTCTGAAGAACTGATATTGAAGATAGAAGTGATGAAGAGCCTGACTTCTGTTTCACAGCCTGATTTAATTTCAGAGATCTATAGCTTCTGTATTGGACTTTACAGTGCAGATTTTTTTTATCGCTCAGTGTAGTCTTTTCTTGCCTTTTAAAAGGAGAATTTAGGGGAGAGGGAAAAAATGAGCATGACTTTCAATAAAAAGTTATGCTACTTTGGATCTTAACACCTTCTTCTTTTCCCCTGCCAACTGAAAATACCTTTTACAAGGCCTGGCATATCAGAAAATGGAGTGCTGTCTTTCTGAGGGAAAGTACACTTACTGGGGTTTTTTGGGGGGAGGAGAGAATAAAGGAAATCAGAACAGAACTTGGTTCCTGAGCTCCAGAAAACCCCTGCTGTGTCTCTCTTTGAAAAGTGAGCCTATGCAGAGCCATTGCAACTTGGCCCAGTAGATCATACGTCCTGAAGCAAACTCTGCTGAGTCCTCCTCCCAGCCACAAGTGAAGTCCTTTACAGAAACCACAGTGGTATTAGAGCATGCAATTGGAACGATATCTCAAGGTAGATTAAACAGCACACCTCCTAATTTCATTCCTCAGAAGTTGTTTCTTTTCATAAAAATTCAACCTAAACCAGACAGCAAGCTTCAAAAAGCTTGCCCAGATTGTTCAAAAGAGGCCAAAGCAGAGAGGGAAGGAGTTTCAGATAGTTTGTAGTTCTTGGTGGTATTACAGGGTCTGAGGGAAGAAGCCTGAAGGTCTTCCTTAAACCTGAGAACCTCTTCAGCAGTTTCACAGTAGTTTTAACCATCTGTAAGCACGTGCTGTCGACTTGTTTGAGGGACATCAGCCTTGTGTGCACAACAGCCATGGGGTTTATACCCTTCACGTGTCTTAGTTTCCCTGTCAGATTTATCCAAACTCTGAACCCCTATTCCATGTCTACTCCAACTCAAGTATGGTTGGACCTGTTGTACCCCTGCAGATTCAGAAGGTTGTGAACAAGAAGTTGCGGGAGAGATTCTGTCACCGACAGAAGGAGGTTTCGGAGGAGAATCATAATCATCACAATGAACGCATGTTGTTTCATGGTGAGGAAGTCATCTCTATTTGTATGTACTGGTATTTTTTTAAAAAAGGAACATGTTAATGTTGCTGTGTCACCATCCTGTACAGTAATTGTATTTCTACACTAGAAATGCGGAGGTGTGGGGGTCGTGGAATTAGTCTGTATGGTTACTGCAATCTAAAAAGTCACACTACATAAAAAATACATTAAAAACAAAACAAAAAACGGTTTTGCTAAGCCATATCTTAGTCATTTCCAGTAAAGCTGCTGGGAGGATGTTACAATGCTGTGAGAAAGAGAGTATCTTCTAAAAGAGGGGAGCAGCACACAGTAGAAGTGTTTTATCATGTCACTTCAGGCAACCATCAGGGAAAGGAATCAAAAGCAACCATGGGTTTCAGCAAGATGTTCTCTAGAAGCATTCGGAAGTGCCTACAAATGACAGTTGCCTGAGGGTCTTCCTGCCCTAGATCCTTCTATGACTCTGCATAGGAAATTGGTTTTAGCCATGATTGTCCTGACATCTTGCCCCGTCTTAACCAGTACTGGCTGTTGGAGAAGGTGTGCATTGACGAGATAAATTGCACTGAAATGCGAGTGGGGGGAAAGCCGTTTAATGAGATCTCTGAAATGAATAAGAAATATGAGTCACACGTGGGATCTTGGTATATAATGATAAATCCCACACATCACTGCATCCTGCTGGGTATCGCCCCCTTCCAGCTGACTGAGCACGATTTCTGATATTTAATGGTCTATTTAAGGCAGCCAAGCTCCTCTTGACACAGAGTCCTGTATTACTATAGAGCTTAACAACTATGTATGATAACACATTATTTCGTGTCATTCTGTTCTAGGGTCTCCTTTTATTAATGCTATCATTCACAAGGGATTTGATGAAAGGCATGCATACATTGGAGGAATGTTTGGAGCTGGAATTTACTTCGCCGAGAACTCCTCAAAAAGCAACCAATATGTGTATGGGATAGGGGGAGGAACAGGCTGTCCCACACACAAAGACAGGTCCTGTTACATCTGCCACAGGTATGAGTCCAGCAGAGCTCCCTATACGTAATTCTGGCTGTCCTGGTTTTCACAATCCTGGCACAGGATGAATTGCAGGGGAAGAATAGCCACTTGAGCTTGGTCATGGCAGGAGAAACGCAGTTTTCCATTTGTCAAAGCTGAACACAAAAGGATATAAATGCAGCGAGTCCCAGAGAAAGGTCAAAAATTACATCTAAGCATACAACGAGTATAAATCAAAGTGAATTGTGGCCAGGAAAGAGGCTTGAAACAGCAATTTTGAAAACGAAGAGTCAGGGGAAAATAGCAATTAAACTCCAGGCACTCTCGGAACAAAACTGCAGTGCAAAGTGGTGGTCAGCAGTACGGTGTGGTACTGCGGATCAGGTAATTCCGGAGGTAGTGAACAGGACTCAGCCACAGCTTTGTGTTGTACTGGAGGAGATCAATGTCCTTTTTGCACTTTGACACCTGTCCACACCCTGCTGGCAGGAAGACAGGGAGAGTTTCAGCTTCTTTCAACAGCTTTATATAAAATGAACTAGAACAGGCCTCTATGTGAGAGCTAAACAAAGTGTGTGTTTTCCCTTCTGCATGTCAAGGAAGACTTTTTTGTGACAGGTTTTATATAGGCTTAGAACTGGTTTCTAAAAGTGTTCATCCAAAAAGCCTTGAAAAATTAATTGTAACAAACTCAGAAGTCTGAAATAATTCTGGAAGCATACAGCCCCTAATAAGATATCTTAAAATGATGTTTTCTTTTTTTCTTTTAGACAAATGCTCTTCTGTAGAGTGACCCTTGGAAAATCCTTTCTTCAGTTCAGCACAATGAAAATGGCTCATGCCCCTCCAGGGCACCATTCTGTCATTGGCCGGCCAAGCGTGAATGGACTTGCGTACGCTGAATATGTTATCTATAGAGGAGAACAGGTATGTGGGTTAGCACGGGCTGGGTTTATGGAAGGGCAGAGCTTGGCCCTGGAGAGGGCTTGTGACTGGTTTCCTTACCAAGTGTGCTGTGATAACCTAGTTGATAAGATATTTTTTCTTTCATTTGCACGTGGAAAGTGAACTGTATCGACCCAGGAAATGCTTTCCTTTCCACTGAGCTGCTCTGATTTACACCATGCAGAATTGCCTAGTTCCCCCTGTTCAGCACTGCTAGAGTCTATTAGGAGTTGTAGTTTCTCTCAGTAGGCCCTGTTCCTCCCATTGCATTGTACTGACATTACTGCAGTAGCAAGAACATGTGCATTTCTGGGGCTCTTGTAGATGCTGAGGGTTCTGGGCCTTCTATCTGTAGATTCTGAGCAGTGATAGTGTCCCTGTCTGCCAGAGACAACCCTTAAAAGGCAGCTGTAGTAGCACAGCACTCTTCAGTTGTTTTTTAATCTGGAGAATGCAGCTGGACTCTTGCTCTAGAGAAGAGCTTGCTGACTACTCTGGATGGCAGACAGAAAGCTGCTTCTTGCAGTGTCCTTCCTGGTCGCTGTCTAGTGAAATCCAAAATGTGAATTTGCTGAGCATACCCTTGCATGAAACAGTGTTTTGATTTTTACTTTCTTTCAGGCATACCCGGAATATCTCATTACATACCAGATTGTGAAACCAGAAGCTCCCTCTCAGTCAGCGACAGCAGCAGAGCAAAAGACCTAGTAGCTACAGAGCAGCAAAGAAGGATGTGACTTCAGTCCTGGACTGGATGGATGCGTGTTTCAGAAATTCAGTATCATAACATTCTTAACAACCTGGAAATAAGCTGTATGTCTTTTATAAAGCATTGCTGTCCTGATGAGTGCGATATGAGTAACTCTGGCATACTCAACTGCTACTGTTCCTTTTGAGGAAAGTTTACAAGGGACTGCCTTTTAATAACATATCTCAGGCTCCTAGTCTCTGCAGTTACCATGTGTAAAATAATGTTGTTTTGATCTAGACTTTGGGAACATTATTGAGCAAATGGAAATCTTTATCGATGCCATCTCACACGTTAAAATTTCAGACACTACTATACTAGTTATTTTATTTGCAGATAAATTGCATTAAGCCCATAATTTTCTTGTCAGCATACACCGTTCATTTTATGTTTTCAAGAGATCCTAGTCAACTATTTATTTTCCTTTTGTATTCTGAAGTTGAGCCGGAACCTTTCTAAAGATATTTTGCACAAAGTCGAGTTGACTAAAATCATTAACAATGCAATATGAGTTTCATCTGAGAAGGGGCTAGGTCCAGTTCTTCAATACAGGGGTTTTTTTGCACACCTCTGAGCATAGGAACGAGCGTAACTTTAGAGTGGAAACAAATGGTGTCAATTCGCTGCTTTGTCTGCGTGAGTTTTCTGGGGGAAGCCCTGGGAAGTGTTCGCAAGGGTAAAACCAGCTCCTGTGCTTGGAAGAACTTCATGAAGCAATGAAAGGTCAATGCCCTCTGCTGGCATCGCTAAAAGAACCTTTTATGAGGCTTCTGTTAAGTGCATGCAGTTTGTGAAGTGCTCTCCAGTTGCAGTGGCGGATGGTTTTGCTGGGAGATGGCAGGTGAAAAGTCAGAGGACTGCATACACGAGGGTGTATCTGGTTCGTGCCCCTCTGTCATGAGACCCAGTAAATGGGTTTCCAGCTGGTAAGGGAGAGCGTGTTACTGCAGTTTCATGTCGCATCTCTGCGTGTGGCATCACAGTTGAAGAGCTGAAGGGATTTACAAAAAAATAATAATTTTTTTAAATACCGATTTTACATTTTTATGAGAATGAACTTTTAAAACATCCGTTGGCAAGTGGATTTGTTTGCAGGTATACCAGAGAACAAAGCTAGGGTTTATTCACTCTAATCCCCTTCCCTGCAAGTTCCCAGATTTGTTTCCCTGGGTAGGAGAAAGTTATTTTTGAGCATTGCATAGCACAGCATCAGACAATTTAAGAAGTCCCCCTCATGGAGGATATGCATTTAGCAAAAGTAGAAACTGATTTCTGTGGTGTTTTTACAGCTTCAGAGAAGGTTGAAAATCGAGCCATCTTTCTTTTTTTTTTCTTAACAACCAATACCAGAAGTTGTGCTTCAGAGTTGAGCATGTAATGACTGGAGAAAAGAATGTTCCTTTGAACACAACACATCCACCAGCACTGCTTAGTAGCTGATGATCCAGTTCATGCGTTCAGGTTTTATCCCCCTTAAAGCAAGGAAATGACAGCATAGCATGCTTTTCGTTTATAAAAATATATGTGCTCCCCACACGTCGGTTTTTGCTGACATGTTTGGATAAAACAAAATTAAACCTGAAGAGCTTTTCACTTTCAGGGTTAAGAAACATGATTTTAACATTAAGACATTAATGTTGAAGCAAATTATCCTCACAGAAGAATTTCAGCCACTGTAAAATCAGTCATTCGATGTAATCTGGCTACCTGCACATCATCTGTTTGTAATATCTCCAAAGAAAACCTTAGAAATAGCAATACTCCAACAGGTCTTGAACTTTGGGTTTTACTTTTCTCGAGCTGGCAGTGGATATATGGTTCTCGCTTCATTTTGTGACCTGATTAAATATGTAGCTTCGAAGTCCAAGCCAGGCTCTAGCCTAGTTGTCCTTTTAATCAAATTTCATTGATAAAATTGAGTGCTTGTATTTTGGCTACTTGTTTAATAGTGTTAGGATTGCGAAGATCACCACTAGGCTTTGAAGCTTTGTATTCATCATTTAAGTTTGGGGTTTGTTTTTAACTTAGTTAATAATGGCGTGGGGGGATGTGCCTATCTACACTAGGGTTTTGGATAGTGCTGACAGTGAGTGTTGCTCACCATCCCCAGTTAGACATAGTTTTAAATGGTAAAACAGTTGTGCTGCTTAGGTGAGCAAAATGGTTACTGTGGGTGTGGAAGTTAAAAGCATCTTTCAAACAGAAGAACAAAGCTGAAAACAAAAACCCCACCGAGCCCACACCAGATTCTGCTCTTGCTTGTTGTTTCCTGTGTGCTGACTGAGCTGACGGCTGCTCTGGATTTCTTCTGCAGCCGCCGGCTTCTAGAGGATAAAAATGCTGTCCAGGATCTTTGAACTGCCAGTGTTCACGTATCTGATGTTCTGTGCCGAGTAAAGGTGCTGTGTGAGGAAATCATTTTGCAGTGGTTTTTGTCTCGTGATGACGTGATCTCGTATCCGTTTGTGGCCAGACACAGAGGAATACCCAGGCCCGGTGGTGCGTCTGCGTGTCACAGAAACCCACGCAGGAGTGGCGTCTGTACGCTGCTGTAGCTCCTCTGGCAGCTTCAAACAACGTGAGGATCTGCCCATCAGTGTCAAAGTTACCCCTGAAAAAGCTGGTCGTGGTTTTGGTGGTAGAGCTGCATTTGGCGGGTTGTTAACCGTACAGACGCTGCTGCTTTAGCTGAGGGAGTTAACTTGATGCCTCCTAATACTAGAGAATGGGACCTTAAAGATAGCACACCCCCATAACCAGGCAGCTGCTGCCTCCTGAGAAACTAGGTTTTTTGACTTCCAGAGATGGGCAGACCCTTAATAACGGGATGCTCGTTTGCAGCATTGGGTCACCAGTGGGGGCATGGTAGGAGCTGAGGATGCAAGAACAGGCTGGGCTGAGCCATCCCATAGGCTTGGTAGCCTGGGCACCTCTCGCTGGCTCCAGAAAAAGCTGTTTCCATTGGGACAGAGTGTGGTATCTGCTGGAGAAAGGGACAGTTGTCTCGGGCCTCTTGATTTTTGTCCGTGTCTCTCTGAGGCAGCATCTGGAAATGTCTGTGCAGTTTGCGACAGGACCTTAAGAGGCAAAACAGAAAGAAACTTCACGTAGCAAAGAAGGGAGGGTCCTGCTCTCCACTGCCGAAAGCGTTTCCATGAGACAGATGAACTGGGTACTTGGTGCAGTGACATTGCAGTCTGAATGCTGTCAAAACAACTCCTGTTAGGATTAAAAGCAGAGAGTACAGAACCTCGATAAGGTGTATCTTGTTTTCTCATCCTTATTTTTACCTGCCAATCTGTTTTGATCCCAGCTCCACGGAGACTGTTAGAGACCTCTTGTACTGCTTCCACCATCAGCAGTCACTGGGGGTCTGTCGCCCAAGGAACGAGCGAGGTGTTTTTCCAGCCTCTGTTCTGAACATTTGCATCTGATGCGATTGAATCCCACGCAGCAGGAAGTGTATTTTGCCTGCAAACTCTTGTACTTTGCTTGTTTGTAACAGAATGTCCCGAAACAAAATTCTCCACTGAAGCAAAAAGAAAGCCCCGTAAAAGGCTCTGCGCTGCTGGCCTTGGTGGGCAACAGACACAGAAAAGGCACGTGGTGTGTGGGACGGAGCAGCTTCTGGAGAAGGGTGCGTCCCTGGCTCTGGAAACCAACAGATCCTACGGTTTGGGGTAGGTTAGAGGAGACGTCTGCTCCCCGTGCAGTGCTGAGGGATGCTGACGTGTTGTGCCACTGCGTGGCCTGCGGGAACCACTTAAAACAGTGGCAAATCTCAGATTCAGTCAGAGCTCCTGCACGGTACGTGCACTACCTAGAATTTCCACATGGGACTGTTAACAGAAATTACCCAGAACAGATTTTGCAAAAAGATGGGTAAAAAGGAAGGGTCCAACCACAAAACATCTTAGTTTGAAGATCGCTAATCGTTCTCAGAAGCTGAAGGTCATGAAATGCGTGAATTTATTCTTAATGGGATTTCTTCCTTTCCATGCTGCTTTGCTACTGAAAATCTAGCTCAGAAATCTAAAAGGAGATAGATCTGATGTGTGTTTCAGTGATTTTAAGCTGTGCTGCAGCCCTGCTGGGGAAGACAAGGGAAAGTACAGATTTGGTTTTAGCCAGAGGGAGCGAGTGAACCCCCACAGCCGTGAATCCACCGATGACCAGGGGTGGTGGCTTCGGCACGGCCCGCACACGCTCTCCTCATCTTTCGGAGTCAGGACACGCATGCAGAGATGGAGGGGAGCATTCCCACCTCTCTGAACACTCAGTAAATGTGAAACCTGGAGGAGCAGGGGTCAGCATATGCGTGTTAAAACTTCTGAAGCAAAGGTGAACGAGCCCATGGGTCGGTAGGGAATGCAAAAACGCCTGTCAGGTCGAGTTATCTGACTGGTTTTGATCTGTTCCTGTCTTACCAAACCTGTTGGTGGCAAGTTCTGGTGTCAGTTCCATTAATTGCTAATGTCATTTGATGGAGTCTCTGTGTTACAAGGTGAGTCTCCTTCTCTGGAGACATTCAAAACCCGCCTGGACGCCTTCCTGTGCAACCTCATCTGGGTGTTCCTGCTCCGGCAGGGGGATTGGACTGGATGAGCTTTTGAGGTCCTTTCCAATCCCTAACGTTCTGTGATTCTGTGATTTTGACACTTTCTTCTTAACATCTGCAGAGCTTGCTTCAAGCTTTGGACATTGAGGTGGGGATTTTTCTGTGCCACAGTCCCGTAAGCTTGTGTATCTCCATTCCTAATTGCTTTCTCTGCCGACCCAAATGGCAATGCACCTGGGGGTTTTTAGACCTTTTATGTATGACTTGTTTCATAACCAGCCCTGTATGTTTCCTCTCTTGGTTGCCAATTACCTGGAGCTGGGATGTCATTTATTTATTTCCTCCTCTACCCTCTCTCTCAAAGAAGACGATGGGCAGGTTCTCGGCCTACCTACACGGTGGACTTTAGGTAACATCTCTGTAACAACCGAGTTTGATCTATAAATGTGCTTGGCTAAATGTCTGATCTGCAATACTTGTAATAGTTTAAAATTCAATAAATACATTTTTAACAGTTGCTCTGTGAAAGCTGAGTGTTTGCACCAACTGCTCTTCTCTCTTGGTCTTAGGACAAACCTGCGCCAGCCGTAACTGTTGAAAATGGTTTTATTCTTATTTTCTCCAAACCACTTGTTTTCTCCCTCCCTCAGGCAATAAATAAAAAGTTAATTTCTAAAAAAAAAAATAAAGAACAAAACCATACATATGTACATCAGCCACACAGGCATCTCTTGTGTTGGATTGGGCTGGTGGGGAAGGAGAGAGGCAGGGTGGGAGGGAAGGCCCCAGGTGGGTTGAAGGGGAGGCATTTTTGGACCAAAAGCTGCAGCACGGCCTCCCCAGGCAGCGACAGGGGTGAGGGTGACTGCAGGCAGCCCTGTGCCACCACCCAGGCCCTGCCTGCAGCTCTGCTTGGCACCCAGTGTACCTGGCTCAGGCAAGCAGCACCCCCACACGCACCTCGTGTTGATTTGTGCAAGGGGGGAGACAGCTGCACAATAAAAACACGTTCCCTTTTCAACCCAGATGAGCCAGGGGCAGACATACGGGGAGAAGGGGAGGTGTATCTCTTCAAAAAACAAGACAGTAAAATAGGGATGGAAAGAGATGAAAACCAGGCACTTGAGGAAACCCAGTATACTATTTTTTCCCCTCCCCTAAAGAGCCTGGACAATGTCAAGGTTTGTGGCTTTTACAACTTTCGTGCTTTCACAACATAAAATTAAAAAGAAAAAACAACAAACAAACAAACCAAGATGAGGTAAGAAATTTCTCTACGAAAAAGACGTTGAGTCCAGGGTGAACGGCAGTGTCCGGCACTATTGCTTTAACATCATGGGGCTCCACGGCCCCCTGCCCCCTCCACGCCTGGCACCGCCTGCCGGGCTGGCCCCAACCCCCGAGCTAACAGCTGGGCGACGTGGTGATGGGGCTGTGCAGGTACGGGAGGCTGCTGGGGGTGGCATGGACACCCACAGACACCGGGAAGCTGAAGACAAACTGGGAGGTGGGGGTGGAGGTGGCCTTGCCCCGCTCCCGCAGTGTTCCCGAGGGGCTGACGGCTTCCACCGCACATGAGGTGGCCAACACCTGCGACTCGAACTGCAGCAGCTGCCCCATGAAGCTGAAGTTTGGGGAGATGATGCTCCGGCGCTGCTTGACGAACTCAAAGGCCTCCTCCAGCTTGACGCGCTTCTTCATCATCAGGTAAGCCAAACAGATGGTGGCTGAGCGGGAGATGCCGGCCTGGCAGTGGACGAGGACCCGGCCACAGCACTCCTTTACTGAGTCTGGAGGGTGACGGGGGTGAGATGTGAGATCAACGCCCTTCCAAAAACACCAAACCCCTCTCCAAACCTTCCTCCCACCAGTGCAACAAATGGCCTAGACCCTGCCAGACCCCTGTTCCCTCTGAGCCAAAGGCTCCAGGTCTTTTGGGGCAGGAACCTCCTCCCTGGGGGGACACACGGACACAGCTCCTCTGTGCAGGCACTCACCGATGTACTCAATGGCCTCCATGAACCAGGAGCTGATGTCAGCTTTGTGGTTGTCCTCCACAGGGATGCACTTGTACTGGTAGTGCCCCTCGAAGTGGTTGGGGCAGTCCGAGGAGACGTTCAGCGGGCAGACCGAGGAGACGTTCAGCAGTGCTGTGATGCCCAGCGCGTCAAGCATGTCCCGGCGGGCAGCGTGGTAGGCGCTGCCAAGGTAGAGGAAGGGAAGGATTTCCACAGGGCCACCCTGTTACAGAGAAAAACAACGGATATGGGGGTGACCAAGGGACAGGAGTGGGCAGAGGACACATCCAGAGGGCTTGGAGGCCCTAAGCAGGAACCTGGCACCTGATCCAGGGCCCTCAAAAGAGAGAGCAAAGGCTGCTTTTCTGAGCTGTTAAACCCATCTCAGCCCTCCCCTATTCATCCATTTGAGGATTGGGCAGGTGTTGTGAACAGGATTTGTGCTTATCCAACCTCCAGGGAGCACAAACATGCTGGGATCTGCAGCACCACTGTGATCTCCCACAAGAGGAGAGGGAGCAGGGCTCTGGCTCTGCAGGCCTCAGCTGAGGGAGGGCAGGGGGCTCCAGCAGGACCAGGTTGTGATGCTGGAAGGAGCGGTCAAATAGGCGAGGACTGGGCTTCTAGACATACCTGGTCGTGAAGCGGGGTCCCACAGGAACTGCAGCCCAAATCCAGGGGCTCGGCACTGGTGGGGGGTGACACATTGCTCAGGGACTTGGATTTTGCGCAGAATTCGGGGAACTCGGAGGAGAAACGCTCATACCCCCCTGCAAGAAGAGAGGCACGAAGAGTTACCACAGCACTGCAGAACAGCACAGCTGGAGCTGACACATCTCATCGTGCCCTTCGCCACTAGATGATGCTGCAGCGATGGCGTGTGCTCTCCTGCCCCAGGACGAGCAACCGGCCCCTGGCAGCAAGGGAGGATCCTTGAAGCCTCACCACTCCCTTGGAGCCACTGCTCTGAGAGCTCTGCAATGCTTTTGGCTGTCCAAAGTCTCCAGTCCAGGGTTTAGTCCCCTACACACCACCAGCTAAAACCCCAGACTGAGGCTAAGGTTGCTCTCTAAGACTATGGAGAGAGGATTTGTCACCAGCATCAACTGACCTTAATGGGAAAAGCTGTTCCTCGGCCAAAGGGCTTTCCATTCTCAGCTTTTCCAGATGCAGCATCCTGACACAAAGCACAGGGAGGGCTCCCATTTCCCAGCCCAAACCCCCAGCCCAGAAGTCCCAAAAAAACAGGCCAGGGAAGCTGCTTTCCAGAGAGAGGTGTCCACGGCCTCTCACGGACATGGGTGAGAGCTGAACGCAGACGTGGGTGCCTGTGAAAGAGCAGCTTGCTCCTCTGACCTGCTGGGAGCTGGGGTAAGAAAAGGCAACCTCAGATCTTCCCAACAGCAGGCAAAACAAGAGCACATCCCATTGACTTCCCCGGACAGGGAAACGGCAGTGTTGGCTGCAGATAAAGACTTCTGGTGAGATTTCCTTCCCTCATTCAGATCAAATCAAAAGCCCTGACATCCTTGTCGAGTCTGAATGTGAGCCTTAAAACCAACAGAAATCAGGTATGTTATAATCACCACAGCAGTCTACCTAGACCAAGTCCTGACTCCCAGGGTAGCTCCTGAAGACTCCCTCCATCTGCTGGACCTACGCCTGCGGATTTGGGCTTGCTAGAGCACACACAGAAAGACGGATAATCCTTCATCCAGCCTTAGCTCTGGGACCATCCTGAACAAGGCTGGATGTTCAAGAGACCGGTGGATGCGAACATGTCCAGCAAAGCAGCCCGGGAATCCCCAGGCAGCTGCAGACCAACACTGCCAGCATCTCAGGGGCCTTTATGGTCTCCTGCCACATCGCAAGGAAGGGCTCTAGTACCTCAAAGCAGAAACACACATATGCATCACCGAATTTGCATCGGCCCTCCCATGTGAGCAGGACAGTTTGCAGAGGCTGTGTTTCCAGGGACTGACATCCCTTTGCAGTCCTACGGGTTCGATTCGGAGGAGCACCCACCAGCAGGAGACCCTGTTAGACATCTTCAGGAGGTCTGACCCGAAAATCTACCACATCCCACTCTGGTGGCCATCACACCATCCCTAGAGGATGTGTGGAAACGGGCTCCCTCCTTGGAAAGACAAAGCAATGCTTCCAAACAGTCAAAGGTGTTTCTCTTCAATGCATCTCATCAGATCTAACTCTAACGCTTGTTCAGTTGAGCACCACATCCAGCAGCTCCGTCCAGCGCTGTGCAGAGCCTGGCTGTGCGTGCAGGCCACAGGAACCACCTGAGCAGGTGCCCATCACCAGGGGACACCCAGCTGGGCTGTTTCACAGTGAACTCGGCAGCCATCTGAGCTGCCCAAAACAGGTCTGGGTCTTCATCGTGACCCGCACCCAACAGATTCGCATGCAGAGAGGCACAGTGCTGGGCTAGCGTGGCTCTTGTGAAAGCCAGAGCCAGCTCAGTGGTTTTAATAGCTCTGTGATAAGCAAGGAAAAGGTCTCTAGTGCCAGCGCTGACTCTCTAGAAGTCCATTCCTTCAAAATAAAGGATTGGAAACCCCAAACAACCTCCCATGAGAATCACAGGGGCACCAGGAGCCCTCTGCTGACAAAGGCCACCCCTGAAGCACAGCAGCATCTCCTGCCACATGCACGGCTCATGGCGAAGGACCCGAAAGCACATTCCCAAGCGAGCCCCTGCTGTGCGGGCGCTCCTGCAGCAGTGCATCGTATCGCATCCTCTGAGCAGCTCCTGCTGTTTTTACTGTATCTTGTACAGCAGAAGCACCAGCTCCTCCATCTATCAAACCTCTTAATGGATTTGCTACTCCACATACACATCCTCACCCCTGCTGTAAGTAAACCAAGGGATGCATTAACTCTCAGGCTATAAACAAAAAAAGCAAAAAAACCCCACAGGGCTGATACTGGTGAGTGCTCCCCTCCCCTAAATCATCTCAGGGCAGTTCTCAGGACCAGATGCTGAAGGCATCTCCTGGAATACACGCGGAGGCTGGAGCATGGCGGGGGGAGACCCCCGATGGCTGCTGCAGTGGCAAAAGGAGAACAGAGGGAT